GGTGGCTTACAATCATAAAACATCACAGCAGTAAAACATCAATGTCAAAATCCTAGGCCACCCACCCCTTAAAAAAGTATTAAACTAATCAATTTTAAAAACAAAATAAAATGATAACAAAAGAAAGGAATATATCCAATACAGTTTCACGGCAGACTGGGTATTCAGTGGCAGCATAAGAAAGGGGGGAATTAGTTAAAACAGGGGTAGGCAATCTTTCCCCTTTAAGGGCCGAGGGACTTCAGCTTCCAGAATCCCAGGAGCTATTGACTAACATAGCTCCTGGGACAATTGGCCAACATGGCTGAGGCTTCTGGGAGCTGAAGTCCCTCGGCCCTTAAAGGGGAAAGGTTGCCTACCCCTGAGTTAAAACTTTAAGCCGGGAAAATCATTCTGGAAAGGCCTGCTGGAAGAGATCTGTCTTGACAGCTTTTTAAAAGCTATTTAGAGTAGTAATAAGATGGATTTCGTCCGGCAGGCCATTCCATAATCTGGGAGCGGAGGTGGAGAAGGCCCTCTGGGAGGTTATCATCAACCTAGTTCTCAATGGCTGTAACAGATTTCTCTCAGAGGACCTGAGTGCGCCGGGGGGGGGGGGTCATACAGAAGGAGGCGGTCCCGGAGATAAGTTGGACCCAGGCCATGTAGGACTTTAAAGGTCAAAACCAACACCTCGTACTGTGCCCGGAAACTAATGGGAAGCCAGTGGAGAGATATTAGCACAGGTGTTACGTGTTCCCTTCTGGAAATACCAGAAACCAACCTGGCTGCCATGTTTTGAACTAACTGCAGTTTCCGAGTTAAGCACAAGGGTAGCCCCATGTAGAGCGATTGCAGAAACCCAGACGAGAGGTTACCAGCGCACGTACCGCAGTCTCAAGATCCCTACTTTCCAGGAAAGGGAGCAGCTGGCGTGTCAGCCGGAGCTGATAGCAAGCACTCCTGACCGTCGCATTCACCTGATTTGTCATGTGAAGCGACGGATCTAGGAGCACCCCCAGACTGCGAACACAGTCCTTGGAGGAGAGTGTGACTCCATCCAGGACTGGAAGTTGTATTCCCAGACCTGGTTTCGGGCCCGTAACTGTGAGTACATCCGTTTTGTCTGGATTCAGTCTCAATCTGTTTTTCCTCATCCAGACCATTACTGCTTTAAGACAATCACTGAGAGGAGAAACGCCATCTGAAGTCAGAGCTGACGACTGGGTTATGGAGAAGTCTATCTGAGTGTAATCAGCATACTGATGACACTGCGCTCCATGTCTCCGAATGATCTCTCCCAGAAGCTTCATATAGATGTTGAATAGCATCGGGGACAGAATGGCACCCTGAGGGATGCCACAGTTAAGTTCTATTCTAGTAGAGCAACTGTCCCCAAGCCTCACCCTCTGGGATCTGCCCGAGAGGAAGGAGCGGAAGCACTGCAAAGCAGTGCTTTCAATTCCTAACCATCTCAGGTGATCCAAGAGGATGGAGTGATCTATTGTATCAAAGGCTGCTGAGAGGTCCAAGAGCACCAACAGGATCACACTACCCCTGTTGATACCCAAGTGGAGGTCGTCGGCCAACGCAACCTTGGCAGTCTCAACTCCATATCTTGTCCTAAAGCCAGTTTGAAATAGAT